TTGAATATTGTCTTTATGTTTACTTTTTTGGGAAAGATGGCTACCCAAGTAAGGAAAATGCTCGACTCCCTCTAAGGATTGGCCTCTAACTGTAATACGTGGAGGAGCAGTTGGCTGATTTGGGGTGGGTTGGTAAAGTATCTTGGTTTTGTGATGTTGACACGGAGCCCAAGAATTTAATGCACTTCACAGAAACCATTAAGAGTGACCTGGAGCTCTTCAACTGAGTGGGCACACATAACACAAATGTCAGAGCATTGAAGATCAGTAATGGAGGTGTTGGTTATCTTAGATTTGGAATGCAACCAGTTGATGTTAAAGAGATTCCTGTCCATATTATACTAGATGCTGATGCTAGATGGGAGCCTATCAGCAATGAATTATTATCTCTGTTCCACCGGTGTCTAGAAGCCCTAGTCATGTAAAAGGACCCTCTGGTGCCAGGTGATGTACTAACCCTGAACAGAATGACAGTCCCTGCTCCAAAGACCTGAGAATGTATCCATCATGGGCATTCTCTATAGTGGCACCATGGTCCCCTGCTGGGAGTACACTGTAAGTAGAAGGGGAGGTAAGTCTGGATAATGCCAAAGCTCTGGGTGAATTCTGCACCGGCCACATTGCAATAGGGAAGTGTTAGAATTCATCCATTGTGATAGGTGTGTAACATGCTAACCCAGGTGGATAACCACCTCAGTGCCTTCATTTCCCTTCTCCAGAGCAGAATTATTTCACATTGCTCTACCATGTTCCCCTGGGAAGCTTCACTCCGTAATTCAGTGGAAAAAAATACAGAGCTAGTTGCTTCACACATTTTAATCCAGCCACTAAAGGAATCCTTGTCATTAAATCCGCTGAACATTACCAGGTACCTGCTGGCTAGATACACCAGGGAAAAAACAACAAGGCAACATTGCTGCTAGTGTTGTAGCCTGAAACTGTATTGCATGAATAAGTCTAGAGGGGGGCTGTAGTTCATAACACGCTGGTCTTTGAACCAGGAAGTCCTCGCAAACATGATGGGATACAAGGCTCCAAGACTGTATACTAACACTCCTCTATAGCTGTTTCCCTCTCTAACCTGCAGGGACAAGGCATGTGTATTACTACGAGTATATGAGTGAGTGTGTGCTCTGTGTATATCAGTGTCTATGGATCTGAGTATGAAGCATGACTGTGACTATGATTCATGACTGTGCAGGAGTGGAAGGGATTGTGGCTGCAGAGAGGGATGTGATTACAACTCTCAGGGTGAATGCGCACTGGTTTGTGTGTGAATTTTCACCAGCACGTGGATGACTTGAATGTATGCGTGAGAGTGGGGGAAGGGGTGACACACTGGGGGACAGGTAACAAAAAGGAGTAGCAATTAAAGTAATTCTCCCACCCCTCCTTCCCCAATTAATTCATATTTGCACAGTGCTTCCAAAGTGTTGCTGTTAATTTGGATGATGTCTGTCACCCACTTACCAGCCTCCTCTAAACCAAAGAAACAAGAGATCTGACTCTACCATGTCCCCTTATACTAGGGAAGCCATTTTGGCAGCAATGACTTTTACCCCAAGCTAATGTGGGGTGCCTTCCTGCCTCTCTTTCCAGGAGCACTCTTCCAATGCACCATCAGTCACATTGGCCCAGAGTGACAGTGGAGTTTCTGCTAAGCCTTTCAATCAGGCTCACTCTAATACAGGAACAGAGAAGCAATGATTACCAGCTCCTGGTATGCTACCTGGTAACACAGCCTGGTACTAAGGTCATCTTCCTGTGCCTATCACTCTCATGCTAGGGTCAGAAATGTCTGATTTACTAGCTGTCATGGCTTCCTAGTATTTCCAAGCCCCAAACCAATTGAAAATGCTTCTAAACTTTACCCAGAAATTCCTGTCAGCACCAGGCAGCTAAACAAGGAGTGCCAGAAAACTCATTCATCCAATTTGAGGCATCGTGGCAGAGCCAATGGATATAAGCACAGCTGCCGGAAGTTACAGGGTTGTGCCTGGCCTGAAGGAGCTCTGACAAGCTGATGGCAAGACTGTCTTCTGCTAGAACCATGTGCTATGGTGGTATAAATTGGTGTTACCCCACAGTAGTGACAGTGATTTACACCAACTGAGAATCTGGCCCCTCAAATTTTTAATGCCCATCTACATGACCATCTAAACTATCCAGTGCCGTCAATGAACCACATCACCGCTCGTAGGTAGGCCAAGTTCATCAGGCCAAGAGGTATCTCTCCTTCCTGAATGCTGTATCAAGGCATCTAAAATGGCTCAGTGATTTCAACAGGATGCTAGGAGAGGATGAACTGGAAGACCATCTGCAAACTGGTGCATCTACTGGTTATGCAAAGCAATATACTGGTCTGGTCCCCAGGTTAGCAGCTATTTAAATTAATCCAAAAGGATGTAATCCTCCTAGAGCAGATGTCTGAGGGGGAATAGGTCCATATTTAACAATTGGCCTGATTGTAGAGCTGTATCTGAATATAGCTGTTCTTTTGCACCAGTGCTGAAAACAAAAGCAGGTGAGCCCATGCATCACATTATTTGACAACCCTCTTGCATGCCAAATGCTGTGCAGACTCCCAAGGCCTCTCTGGATCACTGGCTTGGTCAGCAAAGAGATGAGATCATCAGGCAGAGGCCTCCTCTAAGATAAGTCCTGCAGCTCTCACTTGCATGCAGAAGGCCTTGGGTTTTAAAGTCATGGACAAAAGATGCACAATACTAAGAGCGCAGATCTTAGAGGATGATGCAATGAGTCAAGTCTGAGAGGAATCAAACCTGTGGCTCCAGGCAACCTTGGCATTTCCAGACTCATACTTTGGCCCTGAGGATGCCTGCTGCCCTCTGGGGCAGGGCTGGGACCTTGTCACTGCTGTCATGAGGACAAGATCTCACAAGACCATTGCTCCTACCACCCTGGGACCTTTTCCCTGTAAGCTGAGTGCTTGGGAGGACTGGGTGAAGGGATGTGATGGTAAAAAGTGAGGAAGCTTCCAGAAAGGCTGATGAGTGGAATACGAGATAGCTGGGGAGCGTTACATTACTTAATACCTGAGACTTCTCACTCCTTTTTTTACTTCCTTTCTGTGACCCTGGCTCTTTTCACTCTGGCTTCCTAGTGCAGCTATCATGACAGAAAACAAAGACTTAAAATTCATAGGTGTTACTTACCTAAGCCACTGTAAGAGCTTATTCAGCACCCCTGTGAGGTATTGCTGCTGCCATTTTACAGGGGGGAAACTGGGGTGCAGGGTGCCTAAGGTTGTGCCAACACAGTGACATTCTCCAGCCTGTTGCACTGCCCCCTAAACCAACAGCAGTGTAGTGCTTCAGGAGAGTTAATTAGCACTGCTGAGAAACAGATCTAATTAACCTGTCCTTAGTGTCATTCAGACATGGCTACCCAGCTTCTGGTTTAGAAAACAGTCCACCAGGAGCAGCCCAGTGTGCTGGAGGACACTGCTTTGAAGCACAGTAAGTCTATGCTAGAGACATGGTTTAAAATACAGAGAGGTCCCACAGACAGTCTGCAGAAGAGCCAGCACTTCAAGCCTACTTCCTGAAGGCCCAAGCTAATACCCCGAACCACTGGACCAGCTCCAATTGTGAAACTGGAGCAGACAGGTGAGATGAATCTGTCCAAGTGAATATGCATTTCTTTTGGCATTATAGTTTGTTACATCTGTTTAGTCCTTTGATGGCCCTAAAATGGTTTGAAGCTTCCGCTAGTATAAATTAGCTCCATTGATTAGAGTGAAGTTACACTGACTGGCACCTGTTGAGAACCTGGCCAAGCATGCTTGTTTTTCTGCATACCTGATCTTGTTAGTATGGAGTGCGGTTCAGAAAGACTTTTTGCCACGTCTGTCTCTTATATTGATCCTGGACACAAGATTGCTTGCCTCTTTTATAATGTGGACAGCATCACTGTCTATGCATAGGGCACAACTAATCAGGAAATGTTACAGTGAATAACTGGTTGTCCCTGTTGACTCAGCAGATCCTGGTATGGGAAAAATATTGGGTTAGAGAGCCAACATCACGGTGTTCCCACCTTTTAAGCAAAACGTTACCATGAAGGGAGCAGGGCGAACATTTGCCCACACACAGATGCAGGATCTTATCTTTGCCCCAGATCTGCTGGGGTGTGAACAGGTCTGCCATTTAACTGGAAAAATGTCTTGTGTTACTAGAACAACACCGTGGGGTCTGGGATGTAGTGATCATGGAGGCCTGTGTCAGAGCAAAAAGCAGGAAAAATATGAGGTCATTCTCTGGATGGTGCTATACCCCCTAGAGGTAAAACTGGACCATCATCAAACCTGAGAGCCACTGTGCTCATTCCAGTTTACTGCTGGGTTACTTACCATTTATTAATCCCAATCTCATCATTGTACTAGCAGTCCTCCTACCCCCTCCCAGGTCAACTTATGTGCTGCACTCCACTTCCTACAAGCCACCACTGCTTCTTGCTTCTTTAATAAACTCTGCTGGCCTCAACAGGCTGACCCTAGGGCTGATGGGAACTGCAGCACTTTGCTCCAGGCAACCCAGTTTGGAGCAGACCATTGACTAAAACTGCAGTGTGTGAGATCTCTCTAGGGTCCTGGCACCTATAAGGAGAATGTACAAGGACTTATGGAGAAGTGACTGAGTTTGGTCCCTTAAGTAGTTAGTCCATTCAGATGGGCTTCCAGCCTGTTTCCTGGATAGCCTGAAGGAGCAAATAATGACAGTGATGGCAGTGGGGTTTTAAAGCAGTAACTGGCACTGCCGGATCTAGTCTCTGCCCTATCATTTCAAGTGGCATCAGTACATAGGTTTTGTGTGTGACTGGCAAGCTCCCCACAATAGCTCAGATTTGCCTGCAAGTCTTAATGTTGATTGCCTGAAGCTCCTTAACCAAGAGACTAGCCAACTGTCCAAAACAGCCAATGCGGCTGCTGCCAACTTCCTACAGGGAAAAACAAAACAAGCAGGCACTCTGGTACTTACCAAAGCATTTACTTTGGTTGGTGGCACGGTCAACAAAGACTTTGGCAGAGATGACATTGCCAAAAGGCAAAAACATCTGCATGAGCTCCGCATCTCCGAACTCCTGGGGCAGGTGATAAATAAACAGGTTACAGCCTTCGGGACCTGGGATAACACACATGCACACACAAAGGACAGCCACACATTAGCAAAGAGGCCACAGGTGCCAACCTCCTCTTTCTCAGACTTGGGCAGTATACTGCCTCAGTTCTCATTGCAATAAGCATCTTCATCCACCTGTTCAGCTGTCTAGTAAATCACTAGTGTATCCTTCTGTCATTCACCCACCTTACCATCCATCCCCCTCACCCCCATCTTTTAAGCTGCTCATTTCACCATTTCTCCATTCACCCCTATGGCCCAGTTATTCCTTTGCTCTGTTGGTGTACCAATCCATCCAGTCATCTGCCCCCACACATTTCTCCCATCTCTAAAGCTTTTCATTTAATTGGTTATGTATTAGTTTCTCCATCCAAAAGTCACTTAGGAATCCAACTGCCTCCTTTCAGTGCCATCAATACGTCCATTACCTTGTTTCAGTTTCTGTCTGTTTTCTCCCACCTTCTTACTTTTTGTCCAGCCAATTGTGGGCTATGTCTATTCTCCACTCCTCTGTTTCAATACCACTCACCCACATCCACTTATCTTTCTTCTCATGCACCCTTTTCCTTCATCTGTATCTCATCCAACCATGAATCTCTGGAATTATATGGAAATACCTAGCATATACCAACACATACTATTGGTTATCTTTCTCCTCTAAAATGAGACTGATTTCTAATAAGCATCTCTGGTAGCAGGGACCTTACTTCCCTTACCCTAATCTGAAGAAAAAGACATGAACATTTCTTTCCAAATGACTGAGACTATTCCTTTAGCTCCTGCTGTGAAAATGCTTTCTTTCAAGACCCACTCTGTTAACGAAGGCCACTAAGTCTAACAAAATTTACTTACCTTTCTTTTTGAATGGGTGTTCTCTTTCTCATATCTATAACTTTATTGATCAACAGATCTAATGATTTCAATGCCCCGCAGGCCCCAGGAGAGCAATACAACTTTATACAAGATCGGTTAATAGGCCTGCACAAATTAATCTGCCTTTGTTTATTACGGTAATAGATCATCCCATCCCCTGCAGAAGGTTTCACCCTCTTACCTTCTCTCTGCTGCTGTGGAATGATGGGAGCTTGCTGGGGAAAGGCCTGGCTGATAGGTGCATAGGCTGCTGGGTATGCTGCTGGAACAGACAAACAAAATGGTCATGCCTCAGTGCCCTGCCCCACTTGGCTTTGACAGTACAGCCTCATGTCACAAAGGTCACACCCAGCAGATGGTTCTGCAACATGCAGACAAAGGGACTGAAACCCTGTGACAACAGCCCCAAGTGCTGGCCTTTTGAGCTTGGCTCAGCTTGTAGGATTTCTCCCAGGAAGCAGCCTCTTGCTTAGTCCTATAGCCTCCCAGTTCTACACCTAGGAGAGGGCAGGGTGGGATTCATGCAAGAGAGATCTGTACCAGTTCACAGATTAAGCCCTGCTTTATTACATGGAGATGGGGTGGGGTGGAGAGCCAGAGGAGGGCAGGATGGAGGACATTAGAACAATGGGAATGAAAGCACCCATGGAAGACATGTTCCTGTAAAACCTGTAAGACTTCCAGGAGACTCTTTGACTTTACCTTCCACCTGGAGCTGTGCAGTGCCTAATAAGCACCAGGGGACACCATTCAACACCTCTCTCCCAACTCAAGCTAGGGATCAATTTATACCCCCAAAGCAGCTCATCTGGTTGTACCTGATACCCTTGGACCAGCTGCATATCTCAGTGAGCTCTGCTGGGCTGAGTGTCCATTTGTTCCAGCTAGGCAGGGCTTTATATAGCCCAGTGAAAAGGGCATTTATTTGCAGAGGACCTCTCACACTTTACCAGTACAAACTTATTTCTCCCCAGTCCACGCTATTGCTCCCCCCTTGCTCACTCTGACACTGACCATGAAATGAGTGGCTCCAAGGCAGTTTGCCTCAGGTGCGAGATGAATTAGTTGCAGGGACAGAAAATGGCAAGACGTACAGGCCCTGCCATCCCCCATTCCAGAAATGGCATCCAGCAGAAGCATTTTTGAGGCTCAGAATGGCTAAAGACTCCTCAACCTCCTGGAGGACAAAGAAGGCAGCTCCTTCATCCCAAACCATTTGCCTGCCAGATCCTATCTGTTCTCAGTTGGGGCAGACTTCCTTGGGGAGGTCCAGCAGCCTAATGCCCCATCTACAGGATCTTTCAGGGACAAAATGGAGGTGTCTTCTCCTTAAGGTCCTTGCAAGCATATCTGGGAGGCCACCTTCTCTATTTTTATCTTTCCAGGTCCCATCAAATCAGAATCCTTTTTCCTCCTACATTTCCATTACCCCATTGCCCTCAGTCACCAGCTTCCCTCCATGTGAACATTCCCTGCTGCTGGTAATGTCACAGCTATCGATATTAGATTGGAGCCTGCCTGTTGGTTGTATGGCAAGGCTAGCTGTCTGTGTATTTAAATCCCGTATACAGGAAATATCTCCCTCTCTTCCACAGGTAGGCTTCATTTAATGGGAATGCAAAAGTATCTCACACCTTCCTTTGTTTATTTGTTTTCATGATGCTCCATATTCTGCTGCTGCTTCTCCATCTGGCTTGCAGTCCTGTGCTTCTGACTAGAACTAACATCTATTTCTTCTCCAAGGTGGACATCCCTGAGACACTTTCTCACCCCCTTGCTGGGCATGGGGACTTTTATTTCCCTATTAAACATCAAACATGATTTGGGGTCTTCACTTTATCTAATCTGACAACCGACTCAGATACAAGAGCAGCATCCTAAGGTGTTACTCTGACTTCCTACAGTAGCATAAAAAAGTTGTGGTAACTTTTGATCAGCTTTTCTCAGCTTGGTCCTCACCCCACTGGCTCCCATCTGGCTGGGAAGTGGAAGCATTTCAGTACAGTGAAGCATCCTTTCTCTGTTGGGATTTCAGGCTGGAGTAGAAAGAGGAAAGCCCTGTTGTCCTGAGATTTATGGCCACTTTACAGACCCCTGCCATAACTTGGAGGAGGCTCAGGCAGGACCATAACTATGTGGCCCCACTGGACCTCTGAGCTTCCTCAGATTTGTCCACCATAGACAGCCCCTGGGTTTCTCACTCTGTGTCCAGGTCACAGCTGATCCTTGGTGGTTTCTGCTGAAATGATGTCACGTGTCAGAGTTGTTCCAGGTAAACCCAGCTGACATCCCTACCATAGCAGCTGAACAGTGATACAGCTCCATTGATTCCTGATTTACTCCCATTTAAATAAGACTGGAATTTGCCCTATCTGTTTAAAAGGGTAAACCTGTCACGAAGCCTATGTGCTGTGCCTCTGTACAGACTATGCAGTATGCCCTGTGGAGAGCTGCTTGATCCAGCTGACCACTCTGCCTTGGTTCTATTTCCATTTCTGCCCTGACCTAGGCTAGAGGTCTAGATATTGGAGAAGTCACTTCCCATCTCGGTGCTTCTGTTTTCTCTCCCCTTCTTTGCCTATGGTGTCTGTTTAGACCAGTAATATGAAAATCATAGGCAGAAGGATGAGTGCTAGAACCTAGCTGCTGCTGCTTCTCTCTGTGGTGACCCACTGCTACCATTTCTCCCCATGGTGACCTAGGGACAGTGTCTGCTTCTGAAGCCCTCCACCCTAGCTGAATGCTACTGAAGTCCCACATGCACGGGCTGGATCAAATGGCTCCATGGGATGGATTCAGCCCATGGGACATAGGTTGCCAACCCCTGATTCAGACTGTAAACTTTTTGGGCAAGGACTGTATCATACTATGTGTATGTAGAGCACCTAGCACAGTGAGTCCCAAGCATAGCTGAGGCTCTAAATGCTACTACTAGTATTAAAATGGTAGTACTTTGCACCTACTTCATGAGTCTGTGTTGGATTCTTCCCCCTTTTCTCATGCAGGAGCCCAGGTTCTGCCCTGCTTTGCACCCATGGTGCTCTGCTCTAACTCCGGGGTAGGTAAAGGGAGCTAATGGTACAACAGTGTTTTTCAGGACACACATTTAAGATAAATTTGTAGTTTTCTGTGTGGGGACTTAAAAAACACCCCAAACCACTTAATTAACTGGATTAGAAAACCCTGAGTGGAAAGAATGTCTATTCCCTTCACTGACTCACAGAATGAAAGGGGGATCAGCTGCTCAGCCAGCCTTGGAAGATACTCTGAATAGCACATGTTAAGACATCTTCACTGTAAAGCGACAACAGGAATCAACCCCCACAGTGTGTGGAAGTGGACCAGAAGCGCTTCTGGTCCACTTCCAGGACTGCTGCCGAGTGCACTGGGGAGCCCCCTGCGCTCCTGAGGGACACTCCATGTGCCCCAGCATCGCAGCATTCACGAGCTGCCTGGTATCTAGAGGTGTGTAGAAAAAACATTTAAAGCTGTGTCTATGTCCAAATCACCCAATCTTTCCAAATCTCTCTGAATCGATTTGGAGGGTTCTGATTCAATTCAGAGAGATTAAAGGGTCCCCTGATTCAAGTCAGATTCAGAGATTTGGCCACCGAATTGGGCTGAATCTCTGCCGAATCGAATCAAGGACCAAAGCTTCGCATACCCCTAATGTGAAGCCTGCTGATTCACTGAAGTGCATGGCTCCCTGTGCCTTGTGGGTGTTAGACAGGTGGGCATGGCTTGGGACAGACATTCAAAAAGCCTGAGCCTGCATTGATTCAATTTTTGCAAGTTAGTCTAACCCGGCTAGGCTAAACCAGTTTGTAACTATAAAGAAATCCCCTCTGGACTGAAACAATGCAGGCACATGCCTGCAGTGGCTCAGGCTAGAAGTCAAGGGGTGCTAGAGCAGCCCTCCCTTCCCTTCCACAGTGCTGAGCTAAGGGGGTGTGGCCAGCCTGGACAGGACACTGATTAGGGAGGGGTTCCCCACTCTTCTGATCAGCCCAGCAAGGAATAGATAACACAGTGTTTATTACCCCTAACTCAGTGTTTATCACACCATTAAGAAAACAACAGAGGGACACATGTTGATTCTGCCTTTATCTCGTCTGCTACAGCACAGACTGTAGCCAGCATGTGGTCTGATAGTGAATGCTGTGTGTCTGTGTAAGGCAGAGGGGATGGGGACTCTGCTTAGCAGGTAATGGTTGCGGGGAGGGGAGCAAGGGGAAATGAGGCAGATGCCTGCAGTCTCTGCCACAGCTCCAGCAAGGGAGTAGAGGGGAGGGTACAGCCCTGCTGTGGAGCAGAGAGCCCTGCCAAGCCCAGAGAGCATGTCAGGATGCTGGGGGAGTCTAATTTAACCTAAACCAGCAAGGGGTTTGGGACAGACATTGCATAAACTGGTTTGACCCAAATCAGTTAAGTCTGATACTAAATTCAACTAAATTTATCTCAAACCGGCTCCAGCCATTTTCAAACTGGTTTATGTTCACTGAACATCTGTTCTGTTACAGGTTTAAACCAGTTTCTGATCACTTAAACCAGTTTATGTCTAATGTCTGTCCCTAGTCTAAGAGAGGACCATGGGTGTGAACTGAGCTGTCCGCAAGCAGGAAGCCTGACTGCAGCTGACATTGGGCCAGTTTTTGTGCTGTTTCATCCTTGATTTGAATTCTTCTGAAGCGAATGGACAAACGCAAGGATAAATTAGGCCCATGGAGTCTCATTTTGACTTTGATCTCAGATTACTCCAGATTCATGCCAGTTTAAATGAGAGTAGTCCCTGTCCTTCAGTTTCCAACATCAATAATCTTCTTCCTTCTCTTCCTTTTGGGTTGCTCTTTCAGGGTCAGATCTCTGGCCAGTGCACATTCTGGCAGCTCCCCTGAAGCCACTGCCATTACATTGGTTTGCATCTTTTGGGGACCTGGACCTCCACATTTCCACAGGTTCTCCCTCAAGGACAATTTCAACAGGCTAAAGAAATAAATACAGGTATGTTCTTCAGGCTTCTGGTAGGTCGAATTCCCACATCCTGGTATCCCATTGCTTTCATTATTTGAATGTCTGTATTTCCTGCCTCTAATGTAAGACAGCAGAGGCTAGACCTGCTTGTGATATGCCAGATGCTTTCTCACCTAAGGCATGCATCCCGCAGGGGTACAATATTAGTAGCAGGAGTGAAAGGATCTGACTTTAATCAGTAAATGTCACAAGCGTATTATTTCTCTCCTGTCCAAAAACCTAATGAATCAGGGAAATTTTTAAAGAATGCATTAAATCTAATGAATGTGTATGTGACTGGGAAAAGTGATTTCTAGACCTTGTCCACATAAGACATGCAGTTTATTGGATAAGAACTTAACCTCCTCCCAGGATGTGGTTTTAGTGACAAAAGGAATTCCAAATGAAACAACAGGAAAACCAGCCTTGGGCTTCTTACCAAGCATGGCTGCTTCCTGGGGCTCCTCTCTAAGCATTTTTCAGCCAATACCCTAGGTCCTCTCTCACTAGAGAGACTGCTCCCACGTTTTTATAGCTGGGTAGGGTAATAAGCCAGTTACACCAATGAATCAGCAGAACCATGAAGAAAGGAAGAACGGTCATATGAACTGGGATTTGGGCAATCTGGATCCTATTTGCCACTCTGTCACAGATTCTCTCTTTGGCCTTGAGTAAGTCACACGATCTCTTTGGGACTTGGTTCCCATCTATATAATGGTTCTTTGTTGTCTTGTCTAATTAGACTTATCGCTCGTTGAGGCAGGGGCCCCCTCTTGCTATGCATCTGAGTACGCTAGTACTTCAATATCAGCCTATAGGTGCCACTGTATTTCCACTACTGAAACTAACAGGAACTCAATTCAACCTTCCCTCGTCATCTCATTGCCTGCTAAGAGGGTGAGGATTTTCAGACAAACTCTGCCAACCTATTATAATATATATGAGTCTAGCAGTGTCTGATGATGCTTAAAAAGGAACTAATATGTTTAGAACTGTTTGAAAACTGTGAATTCTCTGCAGGAAATTTTTGGAAATGAACTGAAATATTTTAGCTGAAAAACATACCTTGAAGCATTTCAGCCATGAACAGAAACATGACATTTTGGAAATGCTGTTAAGGTTCCACACGGGCACCGAAGTTCAGATATCACACACTTCCAGCCCCTTATTGGCCAAATTTTCTGGTCAGACTGAAGTGCAACATGCCCTCGCTTTTTGGTGAGAGAAAGCATGCATCATGGGAATAATTACCCACAGTGCATCATGGGATATGTACTCTGACTGAGTAGTTTGGCCCATAGAAAATACAGACCCAAGGCACCCGAACAACACACAGCTCCCCCAAGGCACTTGGACAGCATTTCCATATGGAAATATTTTGTTTTTTAGGCATTTTTTCTATGAAAAAAGAACTGGGTTTTTTGGGGCCAAAAACCAGTGGGTTTTTTAATTAAAATTTTCCTTTGGTTAAAAGAACTCATTTCCTGTTAAAAAGCAGTTTTTGATGGAACATTTTTGACCATTCCTAATTAAACTGATATCATCAGGGTTCCTCATGATCCTCCACTATGATTATATTTTTGTCTGTTGGCTCTTCCCTCATCCAACGACTATATTTTGAACAAACAATTATGAATTACTTTTTTTTTTTTTTTAATTTCCTGCTAGTAGCAAACATGTAAACCGGTAAAAGCTGGGGAAAAATACTGTAAGGGACAACGAAAGCACAAATAAGAACAAACAAGACCCAACTCCTCTCTGTGCTAATTGGCACCTCTTTTTTCCTTCCAAGTGCTCTCTTGGCAGACTCTCCTCGGAGAAGTGTACTGACCTGACCTTCAACCCAACTGACTCGCAATAGGAACTTATATTGAGCTTGTTCTCCACCATTACCCCAAATCTCTCTCACGCTCTGTGGCTGCTTCCTTGCTAGCTTTCCCTAATGTATATCTATGCTGCAAGGTACCCTTTCCTCCACTGAATTATCTCAAGCTTATTTGCATTAAAACTCATCACACTTTCATCCGACCAGTCACTCAAATTAGCCAGCGTCCCGGGGTATAGCCATGGAAATGAGCACTCCTGGCTCTGAGTTATTTCCTAGCCCAGTTGCTGGGGTTGGAGCTCTTTTAGGAATAAGCAGGAAGGTCTAGGTCCCTTCTATGATCATCTCTCCTATGTTCTTTGCAAGACTTTCCTCCTTCTCCTAAGCTTTCCTTCAAAGCTGAAGAAGTGTTGAGCTCTGCAGAACAGAGGCCAGAGAAACTGCTCACCCGGTCTTTCTCTTATTGGTCCTTATAATTTGTGTCCAGAGGAGTGTGCATCTGTGAAGAAACTGTCCCAATGTGACCAGGCACAGAGCAAAGGAGGCCATCACATTTCATTATGATTTCACCCCATATAAGACGCAACATTTGCCAAGACGTGTGTGTCTCGCTACCTGCCCCCTTCCAGCAGCCCCTGCTTCCCACACCATTCCTGCCATGCTCCTTTCCTTTAAAAGCCACAGGACAATGACAACCAACCAAGAACAGACAGAGGGAAAGCAAGAGACAGAGGGAGAATTGCGAAGCAAAGTTTGAGACCTGCATAGTGCTGCATGCCTGCGTAGGCTTGTTGGAGGGGATCTGCCACAGTGGGACTTTGAGCTGGAAAGAGAAAAGAAAGGAGAAAGAAGAAAGAGTAAGCAAGATAAACCAGAGGTGAAACAGCTTGCACAGCAGGAGCAGCCAGAAGGAATCACTCAGAGATACAGCGAACCAGGTTCCTATTGGCTTTTTTATCCCCTGCTTCCTATTGTAGTTTCACAAAGCAATTTGTGCTGGGATACACAGTAACAGGGGCAAACCTAATCGCTAATTAATCAGAATCTGGGGCCCACCCGATGCAGCCTCCAGAATAGTTAGGCTTCATTCTGGGAGATGTCAACAGTTTTCCCTCCCAGCCCCTTCAATAGGCGCTCAGGGGCCTTTGTGCCCCCAGGTTCTGGGCCCTTCTAAGGGAAATAAGTTTTAACAGGTAAGCAGCCAGGTTTCTGTCAGCCAGGGCAGTAGCTTGAAGCTCTTGTCCTGAGAAGCATGGCAGAACACAGCCTAACTGGACATGCATTTTCCATCCCAAGAAAATATTCAAGATTTAAAAATATGTTCTGATTGCAAATTAGGAGAAAAGGTCACTATTTTGAAATATACAGTTCTAGACTGCAGGGGTATTAAGTTCACTGGTGTCCCCCAGGCCAGATCTGGACCCGGCAGTGGGGCAAACACGACTGTGGGGCAAACAGTAATGTGGGGGTTACCACAGCTGTTGCTTGCCCCTCTCTCCCTTCCCATGGCTGACACATGGGCCCATGGGTGGCTTCACTGTGGGGAATTCAGCAGAAGGCCTTGCCTCTACTGCCCCCTCCCCTTATTGCACTCCTTCTGGGACCCCCCAAGGGTTGGGTTAAACAGTTCCACAGGCTGGATCCAGCCTGGGGCCATACGTTTGACCCCTGGTACATCATATACACAAATACACAATGCCGCCTTCCCCCCATAATTGGCTTGCGGCAATCAAAACATTTTGTATAATTCCAAAATATTTCACTTGAACCTTTTTCTTTCACATTTTGAAGCTGAAATGGAATTAAATTTCTAAATGAGAAAAAATGCTTCAAGCATAAAAAAACTGAGCATTTCCTTCCAGAATGCTGATGTGGCACATTCTGACACTTTCAAAATATTGTAAAATACTGTTTTAAATACAGTGAAAGCTGCTCTTTCATAAGAATTTTTTCCCTTGCTTTTCTGGTGGCAGGGGAAAAAACCAAACCTTTCACTGAAAAATTCCTGACTGGCTCTATTGGCAAACACTAGCAGGACAACTGCTTTTTATAGTGACCAGGGACAAAACACAACCAATGCAACCAACAAAAACCTGTGGGTCTGGACACGGACCTGTCTCTAACCACACACTCTAGCACTCTCCTGCACAACAGTGTAGTCCTCATAGCACTGTGTCATGTGAATTAGTATGGCAGAAGTCTGATGGGTACAACCTTTGGCTCTCACAGACCCGGTGAGGCTAGGAAGTGGTAAGCTAGAGATGAAAGGGACTGTATCCCATCACCAACTGCCCGCATCATCCCTACAATTAACTGTTTGCCTGATTTATAGCCACACTGAAGAGTGAAAGGCTCCATACTGCCCTAGCCTCTTGCACACTCACCTGCGAGTCACTCTTGGCTCTTTTATGGCCACACTGTGCGCTCACTATCCTGTAAACAGAATGGCATGGAGGTGCTTTGCTCTACAGAGGAGCTGCAGCCAGCCTGTCTCTCTGTGTGCCCATGTGCTCAGTGAATTACAAAGGCTGCAAATGCAGCCAGCTCCTCTGCAGAAGGCACAGAGGTGAGGGGATACTCCACCTTTCCTTATGCACTCCTGCACAGAGGCTCCTGGCCTCCAACTTTTGTCTAGGCCAGTGGTTCTAAAAACCTTTTAAGACTCAAGGCACCCCTTCGTAGACTCTAACTGCCTCTTGGAAAATATCAGCTCTTAGTTTTCACTTGATTTTTATCTACAGAAAAATAATAGAGCAATTCTTGTGTTGCAAACAACTCAGAAATACTGCAACAGGGCAGAATGCTTTTAACACCCTGAATTCCTATTTGAAATCTCTGGGTTTATCTTGCAAATCCACTAACACACCTAACAATGCTAACATTGCGTGGCACCCTGCAGCACCCCGAAAGGATCTTAACACCCCCCATGGGTAGCCAGACTGTGGTGGAGAATCAATGGCCTAGGGTCAAATCCTCCCCATCACCCATTTCACCTCACCTCCTGCAGCCACTCCCCAGACACTCAAAACAGCAGGATACTCCCAAGCTTCCTCCTTCAAGGTCTTGGCCCCCCAGCACCTACCTGGGTACGGATGGATTCCATTGGTGTAAATGGTCTCTGATGCTGGCTGCCCATTGGTCTGTGGTGGGAGGGGGCTGAACCCATTCACTCCAATGGGCGTGGCTATGCTGGGGACCGGTGCTGTGCTGATCCCTGGAGGTGTGCTTGTACCTATGCCCCGAGGAGACAGGGTAGCAGGAGAGAAAGAGCGACAACTTTAGCTCTGGGTGCCTCAGGGTAGGGGTTTGGTGGCCTACAGGAAGGACTTGAGACTCAAGGCCTAAGTCAAGCAGAGGGATTTTGACTGGTGGGTTGCTTTGGATGGAGAGGCTTGTGGAGGGCTCATTACAGATGCCAGACCAACCAGTTGCACCAACCAGGCCCCTGTGGTGCTTTGAGGTAACCCTGAGCCTCAGTGCTGAAATTGTGATGCTATCAGCTAGCTGGAGCCAGCAGGATGTGGCCATGCAGGGGGAACACAGAGAGAAGGCAGGCTAGATGACGCTGCCTGCTCCAATCACCAACCCAACTAAAGGAACAGGCAGCCTTAGGGCACTAATGTGTCAAGGTATGTCCACTAAAGGGCTGGCTGGGAGCTACCTGTACAACATGCCCTCGGCTTAACATCCAAGCTATTGATCACAGGTTCTACAGAGGGTGCTGGGAAGTCAGACTCTTCCCCGCATTGTCCTTCTTGGCCAGGCCCATAGTCTGCAGTACCCTGAGAGACTGACAGCAATGAGGATCTAAAGCAATGACTACTCCAGTTGCCAGATACCCTCCAGTCTTTTGTACACCTTTCTGCCCTTATGTAGGACACTTGTGCCCTTTTTCCTTACCTGCATCTTCTGATCTGAGCAGAGCATCAAGAGAAATAGATGTTCTTCCCAGCAGGCGGGTTTGCACAAGGGGGGTGGTGCAGGGGCAGTTCTGTTAGAAACCTATGGGCCTCTGATGCACAAAATAAAAAAGGCCAGGCCTAGCTCACCTCTTCCACTTCCCATTCACTCTAATACCACTGGTTCTACAGCTGATGTGAGATCTTATCTGCACAGCTCCTGCTGAGTGGGGCTGGCCCAGCTGAAGGTCTGTCTTCCCACTGAGCAGAACACCATGCATGCAGACATAGGATGGAAGCAACCAAGACAGTGGCTGGTACCTTGGTCACTCTTCTTGCATGTGGAAACACATGTTCCAAAAAGCTCCTCCTTCCATGCCTTTTACTCTTTGGATCTGCCTGTTGGGCCAGGCTGGCAGCCCTGGAGGCGAGACAGGCACAGGAGGGAGATGCTGTGACTGGTACCAAGACAGCTTCCTACCCATGCTGCCATCTGTCAGGGCTGCTGCTCTCTCCTCTTGTGGGACCATCTATGGGGCTTCAATCTTCCCTGCCCATTCTATGTATTGCTGCCCACTGAGACTGCCAACCTGTGCCTGGTAAGGGTGCTTACAAGATATGGCCACCTGTCCTTAAGGAACTGGCCTCAGATTCCCACTTCACTTCATAAAGGCACAGCTGGCAAACAAGAAAGACTCATGGTTGTTACTGTCCCAGTCCCCAGTTCATGTATAGGGGACAGGTGCCCTATGCATGAAAAGCAGTATCACTGGCCATTCCCAGGTCTCTACATCTTCCATATTCCCAATGTGCCTCTGGGCACTCATGCAGTACTGGGTGACAAGTACCTGATGAGGGGGTCATAGGTGCAGCCACCAGCCCGCTGACATTGAAGGCCGCCATCTGCTGCATCTGGGCGGCGGCGATGGCTGCCATGGGGTTCAGACAGGTCCCTTGTGCTGCAGCCATCAGGGCTGCCTGCTGCTGCATTATCTTAAGGAAAGAAAGAAGGAAAGAGGGAGGGAGTGGAAGTGAGTGAGAGAAAGAGAGAGAGAGGGAGATGGATGGGCAAGGGAAAATGAGAGAGGAAGGGAGGGGAGAAAGAGGGAAGAGTCAATTAGCTTCTCTCATTTAGGCCTATGAACCATTAGTGATTCCTGTGTAGCTGTCTTCATCACTGCTGGCTACAGCAGTGTCTTGGGTACAGCAGAGAGGGACCTGAGCTATTGATGCCCTTTGGATAGATTCATTAAAGAATGAAGGGGTGTTTTCCATGCCGTGTGGATCCTAGCGCTGGTTGTAAACCTCAAGGAGATGGTGGGTGGGCTCTGGATCTGGGTCTGTTTGTTTCCTGGCTTGTTTTTGAGCAGCCTAATGGCATTCAAGAAAATGTTGTCTGGGTGGGATTGAGCAAGGCAGGTGTTCTCCTTTCAGCCTGCATGGCTCTGTTGGCAGTGCGCTTGTCTCTGGGCCAGCAAGAAGTGGATTAAGCTGCCACAGCAGGACTTGGGCTTATACCAAATACTCACACTAACCTGCAGTACAGGGAAGAGACAGAGCCTGCTGCTGCCTTGCTAGAGATGCAGAACCTTCAGATAAGAGGTGACACTGAGGTCCTATTTTCTGGCTGTCTCTAGTGGCTTTCCAGCCAGACGTATCCAGACAAATTGCTCATTTGGAAAAGTGCCACTGCCAGCAGTCCGTCCCTGGGTCAAACAGATCTCAGGCACCGCATGCCCTATTGTAAAGTGCTTACTTGCAGGCAATGCATTGCCATTATCAAGCTTGTTACTTTGGAAAGCATAACATTCATAGATCTTAAGGCCTGAACAGAGCACTGTGATCATCTAGCCTGACCTCTTATATTAAAAAAAGGCTAGCGAGTTCACCCAGAGTGTCTGCTGCACAGAGCCTAATCTAGCATTTCAGAATGAAAGGTGCTACATCAGATATCATCCTATTGTGCTCTGCTCTATGTGAGTTCAACACTGAGTAGATACAATTAAACACTGTAAGAGAGGTTGTGACGCCAAGCACTGTTTGGGCAGGTGTTTATGAATGCTTCTATCTGCCCTGCTATTCCACACTTGGTTTCTCATGAGTAAAGACCTGCAGAACCACAGTGCCAAATTGACCCAAAATGTATAGCAGTTTCAGAGATATCCTTATAGCTTTAAGGCACTGCTGAATCATAGGATGGTTTCAATAGCAAGTGCATTTCAATAGCAATAGCTCAGTGGGTTCGAGTGCGGGCTTTGTTTCGGCCTTGAATGAGAATATGGTGACTTTGATTGATCGGTATTTCAATACAGTCTTGACATGACTTAGATGTCGGGGGTGGAGGGAACATTTGGGATTTGATTATCCACGCCTGCTATTTATGCCTATATATGCCGCTTAAGACAGCAGCCACAAAAAAAATCCAGAGAAAATTCCTACGTGAAAAGCCATTAGTCAAGTTTTTCAGCTTCCAGCACCATGAGCTTGTAGGAAGTGGGTGTTTCTCTTGCTGGCCTGCCACTGTTTTCTAGTGGGTAGCAAGGGTTGATCATGGCTGAAGGTGGTGAATGCCAGCACTGTTTTGTGTCATGTTTTCCAAAAGGGTGGGGAGGCCAGCTGACATGTGCACGGGGCACTGAACCTTATTGCTTAATAACCTGGGTCTTCACTGACATCAGGCCACTCTATCACTAAGAATTTACTATGGGCATCCTCAAGTTAGGGTAAGTGCAGTCTATATGAACGGATCCCCATTTGTTCTGACAAGGGCAACCACACGAGATGACCCCACATCTCCAGTGGACATTTCATTCTCCATCTGATTAAGCAGCATCTCCTACCGCTTGCGTGTATGCCCCATAGGCTCCAAACTGGATAGTCATTGGGTTGAAGATCCCCAGCTGTCCTGCCATCTGATGCATCCGTCTTAAGGTCCTCTCCTTGTCTGTGTCTGCAAACTTCACTACCAGACTGGAAGAGGCGCCCTAGGAGAAAGAGAAAGAACAGTGGCATCACTTTGTGCCCATGAGCACTGGTTTGCAGGGGCCTATAACTGTTAGTGATTAACACAACACATCTCATGGTAACTGGCATAAGTCTACTCCATACTAGGTTGTTTTATTAACTATTTGTTAGATCTGAACTTCTTCCTCTGTGTTGGGTAGAGAGAGTTCCTCAGCTGGTGTAAATCAGCATAGGTGCACTGGAGCCAACAGAATTATGCTAATTTAAACCATCTGTTTTCTCAACCTGGCTCGTTCGTTTGTTCATTCTTTCTTTCACTCTTGCTTTGTATATGATGTCCTAGGAATTTCTTTCAGGACACCTGAAACATCTCAGAATTTCAATGCCTCAATCAACATGTACAGGGGTTATTTTAATATCTAGAAACTATTTGTTCGTGATGCATTGCACTGAGAAGAATAAAAAGGAACAAACAGGCCAGCAGAATAAGCAGTCAGTGTGATGAACAGTGTCTAGAATGAAGACAAGTCAAATGAACGCTGATGCTATCTGTACTACTGTCTTGCTTGGAGTGAAGGCGACTTATAGTTACTCAGTGTTTCATGATGCACTTATTCAGATTCTTATTGGAAAGAATCCTCCCCTCTGAAAATTAGGAATGGTGAATCAGAAGCAAACGTTTATGAAAGAAAACCTGCACCTTTCTTTTTTTTGCATGAATACTTTGTGACTTTAAAATGCATTGCAAGAAGAGTGTTCTGCTCTGAAATGTAGTCACCTTAGCTCAGGCCAGGCCTGGGAGGTCCTGAGAGCAGGGAGGTGTCCTCTTCCTTCTCTACTGCAGGCTCCAATCACTTTAATTTATATGAGCAGCTGATTTTGTTTATCCTGCACCCACCAGGTTGTTTCTCAGAACTCGCCTCACGCACATTTGTGCAAATTCATTTCCAGAGTGATTCTACCCCGACTTTGCTAGAGTCACCCCAGGGATAAACTTGGCCCAGGCTGTCGATACCAATGGCTGATCAATGCAATGTTTAATTATAGTCGTCTTTTATAATCATGGCTGTTCTCTGGACTCTGTTTCCTTTCTCTCTCATTCAGAATTTTGACCTTCATTGTTAATTAAATGGCAACTTTCTCCAGCTAGTGATTGAATTATCCCCTACCACCTGCCTGGAGAGCTCAACACTGATCAAAACAAAAGGATGGACCTTGTGTTATTTTACAACAAATTGTTTGATCCTTGAGATTTTGATCCAATTAAAGGGAGGATCAAATTAGCTGGTGATTGGATTAAGGAGAAAGCTCTGTGCTTTTGGCAGGGAGGGAGAGAGCATGTCCAGTGGGAGTGCCCATTTCTACCCCTCCTGAGACTAAAACCCTGTGGCAGTTTCCTGCCAAGAACACTGTGAGACGAAGCAGGTTATGCCCTTGGAGCTATGGGGGGGACTGTGGGGACCTTCCAGATTTCTGAGCAACTTTTTCCTGTCTTTAGAATTACAGCAAAAGACGAGAGAGAACTGAATGTTAAAGTTACCACCCAGGGTCAGCCAAGTCAGCTACATCAAAATGGCCAAATGTGTGCCTGGGAACGTCACAGCCCAGCTGCCTGCCAGGATTCAGTGACATGAGGCATTGCGCCTAAACACGCCTCCTCTCAAGGCTGGGTTTCAAAACCTGACTTAGAGCAGCGGCGTCTGCAGGTCCCTTTTCAATTCTTGGGAGATCTGTTCCTACATCAGAAAAGCAGCCCGTCCCACTCCAAGAGTCTGCTTAGTTGAGGTCCAAGGCTGCAGTATCAGGGAGAGCTGCAAGACAGGACTGAGGAGCACTGGCAGAGAGGAGATGCTGCAGGTCAAGATGGTGGCTGCTGGCTAAGCTGCCAGTGCACACATGGATGAGGGGGACACAGGAGTGGGGTAGCAACGGGTTCCTTCTTTCAGGACTGAAGTACATTAACAATGCAGCATGGGGAAACCTCACCTGCACTATCGTGCACTGGCCAGAGGGCTTTGGGCTGGGTGGGACTAAGCAGGACCTCTCTAACTCTGTTCTCTGGAATTCCTTCAGCCTGTCACTTGGCTCAGACCAACGGGCCTTTTGGCCTAATTGACTCTTCCCGCAGAACCTGTCGTGTGGTTCCAGCCTCTTCTTAGAGGCTGCCCTCAGGACCTGGGCAGAAGCAGGTGAGTTTGGGATGGAATCGTAGCCCAGCTGAGCAGGTATGAACTAGAAACTGTCCATGACTCACTAGGGCAAGTTCCCCTTTCAGACACCCCTGCCCGAGCCCTGTCAGTTCAGTGGGTTTGCACTGGAGCAGGCCTATGGATTGGACTGAGAGGTACTGGACTCCAGGCTGAGCTCTCATCTGGATCCAATGGACAGCTCCCACATATCTCACTTATGGAAAGGAAGGAAAACCCAAGCGCTTTTCCCCTCCAGCTCTAGCTCTGGCACTTACCGGCATAGTTTGGCTGCCGTGAAGGCTGTTGATGGCTGCTTGAGCCTCTGCATGGCTCCCATATTTTACAAAGGCACATCCTAGGAAAGAAAAGGAAAGCATGTTGTCAGCTTGGAAGCCAGACAAAGAGAAGCAGTTCACTGTGGAGGAGAACATGTGCTCAGGCCTAGTACATATGCTGGCAAACTTCCTGCAGGAAATTCAGCCTGTCCTGGACAGTCCCACCCCAGCTCTGCCACTGACCTATATCCCTGGGCAAGTCACCTGCTGTGCCTGTTATTCCACCTGTAAAAGGGGGCAGGTAACTCTTAACACCTGCAAGGAACTCTGAAATCCTTAGGTGCAAGGGAAGATGTCAGTGCCGGCTTTGGAATGGAGGAGGAAGAAGAGGACAAGGCTGAGCTGGATGGAGGCTTCAGTGGTGCTCTCAAAGCCCGTGTGTGTTTGTATGTGTGTGTGTGTGTTGCACACACGTGCATACATTCTGTAGCGTAGTTAGCCCCCATGACCAGTGTCTAGAGGATGGTCCTTGGAGTACCCTGAGCATGGAACTATTAGGGATATATGGGAGGGGATGAAGTGGACCTTCAGGCATTGGCTGAGGAAAGCAGGGGTGTGGTGGCAGGTAGTCATACACTAGAAGGCTGCAGTCCTGGAACAGACTCTAAGCCAAAGTATGTCACAGTTCCTGCTCCAGTCTTTGATGGCAACGACTGCACCTGCGTGGATCCAAGCTCCATCCCCCAGGGAGGGCAGGAGTGCACTGTGCCTGCTTGATTTGGGCCTGAAGTGCTCAGTCCTGCAGGTTCTGTCCATGGTGCAAAGGGAGTTCTCCTCCAAGGGCAGGGGACAGCCAGTTGCTGCCACTGAGAGACAGAGCAAGGACTAGTGCCAGGCCAGTTACCCACTCTACCCCACACCAATCTGCTATTGCCCTCTGGGACTCCAGCTCTGCCACCACTGCTCCATGCTCTGGCCTCTATTCAGAACTCACCAACCCACCAAGCCAGTCCCTTTACCCCACCTCAGGCCCTCAGTTTGACCCCTGTGTCTGGCATGGTTGCCTGAGAGCTCCCCAACCTCCCCTGGCTCAAGGAGCTGGACTATATCAGCCATTACCCTGCCCAGCTCTCCCTGACCATATCTATGACCACCTTCCTGTGCCCTGGGCAGAGGCTGCCATGATGACCTATCTGGGTGCCTGGAGCATCTCTCACACAGCTGTATCCCACCCCATAGAAAATACAGTCATCCTGCTACAAACACACGTGCTGCACACTTTTTCCACAATCACCAATATTCACAGAGCCTGGAGTTCTGGCCCAAGCCATGTCACGTTTACACTTGATAGGATGACTCCCAGAAGCCTCCAACCAGTGCTCAGATAGTGCTGGATCTGCCTCCCACCTTTGCTGGCTCCATCAGGCCCTCTGAGGATGGTGCATTCCTCGATCTGTCCAAAGGGCTCAAACAGCCGCCGGACATCGTCTTCACTCTGCTGCTTCCCCAGCATTCCCACGAAGAGCTTCCTGTCTTCTAAAAGCAAACCACACTCCATTAGCAAGTGGACCAAGTGTGCAGAAGGTGTGCTGGTGGGGCTACTGGACAAGGGGCAGCCTGTAAGCATTGCAAACATACACCCGTTCTGGAGAACTGTATCACATGGACCTAAAAGACCACGGCCAGAGGCAACGTACAGCATCTCTATGACTACCACCTCATAAAATCTCTTTCATCCCATTTTGACGTGATCCATCTACATGGATGGCTGGCTGGTCTCTAAACCTTGGGAACCTGCAGTCTACCCATTATCCCGTGCCCATGAAACATCACTGCAAACTCCCAGGGCATGTCTAAATGTGCCTCTTTTAAGTGGGCTTGGCCTAAAGTCACCATTTTTAAGGTGCATTGAGGGCATATGTCTACACGTGTGCGCCCCTAATGCACCTTAAAAATGGCAATTTAAGGCTATGTGAGCCTAAATTTGATACTTGCATAAAGCACGTATCAAATATAGATGCAAATAGCTAAGTTGTATTTGCACATGTGTAGATGTGCTAATGCACATTAACTTGGTATGCATCAATGGATACACACTGTATTCATGCGCATTAGCGCATCTGCACGTGTGCTAATGTGACTTAGCTATTTGCACCTAAATTTAATGTGCCTTAATGCACATTAGTCCATCCATGTGTAGATGGATGCCTAAATCGCCTTAATATGCCTTAATGTTCAAAATCCATGAGGCTAGTTCCCCCCAAAATGAAGAGACTGGCTTAAAACAAATGAGCTTTAAGGCATAAAGGTTCTCATGGACCTTCTGGTCTCAGAACCTTTAGGGCCTGCTCAGATCCCCTTGCTAGGTTCTTGTCCATTAGCACCAAGGGTAAAGACCCTGAATCTTTTTTTAATGAAAGCCAAGACCTCTCCCATCATCCCTTAACTCCAGGAACTGGGGATTTAAGAGAAACATCACATATTGCAGGACTTGTAAGTCAACACTGTGTGTTTACCTGGTTGGCCAGTTCTGTTGGGGCTATGGACAAAGTCTAGGAGCAAGCTAGATGGAAAGGCTTGGTAACAAAAAGATTAAAATATCGCTTGTATTGGTCTGCTTTCTGATGGCCTCACTGTACACTCTGGTTATTTCAGATTATTCCCCATTCTATATGAGTGGGATAGCTTTGGCAATGGGGTTGGTGTGTGGTATTGGAATGTCATTATTTGGCTCTGTCCCTAATACTTCATCTCTGGCAGTAGCCAACAGGCAAAGATTGTATCTGACCAGTTGTACCCTGTTCTCCATGT